AATACTGTGCAGCAAAGTTCTCTAATTCCCCCACACAAGATGTAAATAAATATAAATATGATGAGTAATGTTTATATATCTCCTACTTTACCCAGCACAATCACTTTCTTTATCCAACACAATCCCCAACTTCCCCTATACAAGTTCCTCTTCTTCTTCTGCCAAGTATTACTTATTTACTGTGCATTGTATATTCTCTCTATAGGTAAAAAGATATATAAAGGATGTATTTTCTCCTCTCTGCCAATTCTATAAGTTTTTATACTTCACTTAGACTCTGTTCTCTTTATACCCTTCTTGTAAATATGATATTCGCCCTCTAGGGTAATTCCTACAGGCAAGGTTTATCCTATATTCTTGTATAAAATAAAGTTATTCTATATACTATTACTATCTCAAACCATTTGCCTCCTGCTATGTAGTTAAGTGAACAACTACACATCTATTCCGTATATATCTGCAAAAGTCAATCACTGCACTGGGTAACCTTATTACTTAGTTGTATTTTACTAAGAAGGCTACAACCCTGTAACAATATTTATATACATTACCTGTACTATTCCATCTTCTTCAGGTTCAAGCTAAGGTTCTACTACGATATTCAACCTGTCATCATCAAAACTTTTCATATATTTCTTGTATATGAATATTCTATTTAATCACTCTTTTCTATAAATCACCACGTCTGATCTTTCGTATCCATCGTAATAAACTCCTTTCTTTTTTCATCATATCTAAACCCCCACAAGTGTATATAGGTTCTACAAGTTCTTTCAGAAATAGTGTTTTTTTAATATTTTCTGTCATTTGAGAAAATACTGTCCCTTCAAGATACAATTTTAATGCTTGAAGAGAGCATGACTCTGGCTTTTGTTGGTATAACCAAGTCTTGCATAGAAATATTTATTTTTTATTAAACTTTTTAGCTTAGAATGTTTTCCTTGACGATCTATAAGAAGCTTTTCGGTTTTTATATAATAGTTTCCCTATTTTCTAATATGCTTTGCTATATAGTCTCCCTTACCCTATATAGTTTGTGCGAGATGGATACTTGCATCCATCTTGCCATGTTCATCTAGCAATAACTTTATATATCTACTTATACTTAGAAGACGCAAGTGATTATATACAGGTATGTTAGCTTTTGAGGATTTTACAATTTTACATTATATATTAACTTCTTTTAAACGCATTTCTAATTTTTCTGTAATTTTAATAGGCGATGATGAGTTACAAGTAGTTATTTGAGAGGACGTTGACGTTATAAAAGGTTTTAATGTAGACGATTGTGTTAAATTTATTAATGACAAGACATTTTCTAATAATACTGTGGAAGGTGGTTGTGATAACTGTAATCATTTTACAATATCAGTAGCTGGAAATAGATACGACAAATTAGATGATGTTTCAATATTTAACGACATATTGATTTTTTGTTTTTTTCTTTAAACTGTTGTTTTTGATATTCTGATATAGGGTGCTCTATTATAGTTTACTTCAGCATTCCATTCTTGTGTTAGAGCAACCTCTTCTATAGGTTCAACTTGTAGCATTTCTTCTGTAATTATGTCTTGTAGCAATTCTTGTATTATATTCGCATCTGGCATCACCTTTTCTTGTAATACAAAATGATCTCGTTTTCTAGATAATTTAGACGTATATTGCTTTCTTTTATTCAGGCATGGCATTGAGTATTAGAGTAAATTTAAGGTTAGTTTGGCTTAAGGATTT